GCACTTGGCCACATTCATCATGGACAAGAGCGAGGCCATTGTGTCTGTGGACGACGCCATCCGGAAGCTGGTGCAGCTGAGCTCCAAGGAGAAGATCTGGACCCAGGAGATGCTGCTGCAGGTCAACGACAAGTCGCTGCGGCTGCTGGACATGGAGTCCCAGGTGGGGCAGCCGCAGGGCCAGGGAGGGTTCCACCTGTCCCTCCGCCGGCAGGGGGACCAGCTGGATGTACAGCTGGGCCTCCCTGTGGGGCGGGATCAGGATGAAGGTGAAGGGCAGGCTGGCAGGGAGCTCTGCCCGGGGGAGAGTCGCACAGGGCGGCCTCCGCCTCCACCGGGGCCTGCACGCCCGCGGTGCCGGGAGGGCCTGGCTGGCTCCGGGAGCCTGTGCGAAACATCCCTGGCCACTGCCCCTTGGGGTCCATGTCTGTGTTCACCTCTGGGCCACGTCCCTTTCCTGTGCCTGCGAGTTAGGCTTGTGCCTGTCTCCGTGGCACGGGTCCCGTGTGCCGGGCCCGTAAGTCACGCCCATGCCCGAGGCGCTCTGTGTTCCTTGGGCCCAGCCCACATCCGTGGCAGTGAGCCCACGTCCGTGTCCGGGCCTGTGTTCGATGCACGCCTGGGACGCGCGCCTGCGCTGTGTGGCCGAGCTGTGCGAGCCGCGTCCGAGCCCCTGTCCCGCAGGAGGAGCTGGAGAACTTCCCGCTGCCCACGGTGCGGCACAGCCAGACGGTGCTGAACCAGCTGCGCTACCCGTCGGTGCTGCTGCTCGTGTGCCAGGACTCGGAGCAGAACAAGCCCGACATCCACTTCTTCAACTGCGATGAGGTGGAGGTGAGCAGGGGCTGCCGGCGGGGCGGGCGCCGGCCCAGAGCCCGCCTGACGCCCGGTGCCCACAGGCGGAGCTGGTGCACGAGGACATCGAGAGCGCCCTGGCCGACTGCCGCCTGGGAAAGAAGATGCGGCCCCAGACCCTGAAGTAGGCGCGGCCGGGAGGGGGCAGGGAGGGGCCCCCCCAGGAGGGCCTGGCGGGCTGAGCGGCTCTGTCCCGCCTCCAGGGGCCACCAGGAGAAGCTCCGGCAGCGGCAATCGGTGCTGCCTCCTCGCCAGGGCCCGGCCCCCGTGCCCTTCCAGCCCTACGCCCAGAACTCCTCGCCCCCCAAGAACCGAGTAGGCCTGCCGGTGCCGCCCGGCGAGCCAGGTGGGCCGCGGGGCTGGGCTGGGGGCTGCCGGGGCTGTGTGGCCCGTGGGGGCCCAGTCAGCAGCAGCTCTGCTCCCCCACCCAGGGTTCCGCTCTCAGGGGTCGCTGGATGAGGAGGCCCCGCGGGCCGTGCTGGCGCAGAAGATAGAGAAAGAGACGGTGGGTCTCGGGCCTGATGGCGCCCCCTCCGGCCTACGCCCACCTCTCCCCCAGGCCAGGGCCGGGAGGCAGCGGGCGTGGCTGTCCCTGCCGCGGGGGTGGCGCCTGGCTGACCCCTGCCCCTGCCCTGACCGCAGCAAATCCTCAACTGCGCCCTGGACGACATTGAATGGTTCGTGGCCCGGCTGCAGAAGGCGGCTGAGGCGTTCAAGCAGCTGAACCAGCGCAAGAAGGGGAAGAGGAAGGGAAAGAAGGGGCCGGCAGGTGCTGGGGCCTGGGGCCGGGGGAGACGCGGAGGCCGTGGACTGCCCCAGACTCTGGGGAGACCCACGGGGCGCAGCGACCCCCTGGGCCCGCCAGGCTCACGCCCCCGCCCCTCGTTGCAGAGGGTGTCCTCACGCTGCGGGCACGGCCCCCGTCCGAGGCCGAGTTTGTTGACTGTTTCCAGAAAATCAAGCTGGCCATCAACCTGCTTGTGAGTCCAGCAGCCCGCCCTCTGGGCTGATATTGAGGGTGGAGGGCCCCGGGTCAGTGCCCCCATTTGTCCCCACCGGTCCTCCGGCCGGTGTATCGGCCATTTGCTCACTGGCATCCCCCCCCCAGGCCAAGCTGCAGAAGCACATCCAGAACCCCAGCGCGGCCGAGCTCGTGCATTTCCTCTTCGGGCCTCTGGAGCTGGTGCCTGGGGCAGGGCGGG